TAATATTAAGTTTGTACGAGTATGCAGTTGTAATAACAGAATTATTGGTTAAGACATAAGTCTAATATTTTGAACACAAAAATATTGTTGGGGAAGTTTAGATTTGTTATGTTTAAATAATATTTCTTTAAATATACTATTGTAATTGAACCTTTCACATCACTAGATCGGTTAGGATCGTTCATGGAAATGGTTACGAGAAATCTCAACTAATATCGTTAAGCTATAATCTAACGGAGACAAAATTCTATCTTTGTTTTGACAACATTCGTGACAGTGGTGATAGGCTTCTCATGTCGACAATTTGCGTATCCCTTTAACTAAAAATGCAGAAGTTGCATGGAAGAGAAAGAATAAGCAAGTGAACAATTTCTTTGTAAATCCCTAGGCCTTATACGATGCTTGAACAGAAGACCTGCCGCTATTAAAATCAACCCATCATATTATTGTTAATGACCAGTTTGTTTATTATAACTATATAAAACCGGATATTCTATTCATATTTTTGTAAAGCGGAACCAAAAAAATTTTTCTTTACATTAATATTTATACCGATGTGCTCATCGGTTATTGGTGCTTGAGCATATATACGGGAAATAAAGGGTTTACAAACTTTCTAGAGATGATTTAGCTCCAATAAAATTATATCGCTCATTATTATTTGAGACTTCTAATTCTATTTTGGGTACCTAATTGTGTATTCTATTTAAGCCTTCCAAAGACAAGATGTTTAAAATTTGTATTTGTGATTACATTTATGGATATATTATGATTTTTGTTGCTGAGTATCAAATTATTCGCATTTGTTTATTAAGCCTAAACCCGTAACACGTTAATATGTTCCCTGCATATTAATTTATATTTAAAACTAATGTGGTTGTTTAGGAATATTCTGACTTTAAACTTAAAAACTTAAAGTGGAATCAAGAGTATTAACATAAGTTTAGGTTTCTTTAACAATACTAGCAAGATCGAAAAGTCTACTTGAGACCTCATCTCGATAATTGGGTTGACCTGCGCTCACTTTATGCGTATTTTTTAGTATAATAGAATATACACAGCCGAGATCTCCGAAACAGAAAAGTGTTTCGTTCGAATTATAGTCTTATATATATAGGCACAAAAGAAACAACAAATTGGGTTATACAATTAGACTGCAGGGTTATGGTTCGAGTATACAAGTAGTGTATACAAGTTTATAAAAGCAGATGTATTTTTTTTTTGTTTTATTATAAAAATTCAATATTTGCTATCGGGGTGATTGGTTTTCTAGAATGGCAATTAAAAATCGAGAAATATGTTTATACTATGTTTTACATACGTTTCGTGTTGGTTATACACATAAATGGATCTTAAACCTTCAAGACGAAATGGTCTATATCCGGCTTAACTGCACAATTGTTTGAAATAAATGCCTTTTAAAAAATAGGTGCTAAACTCAAAGCGGTTGAAACATCTAACAACAACCCATCGGGGACTATGTCGTGTTAGTCTCCTAAAGTTTGTACTGAACGTTTTAAAAATGCATTTGTTTTTGAAAACAGCTTTCAAATTATTAATTTGTACTGTCGAGAACGCTTCGAATTAAAGTAACTTTATTTGCTTGCTTTTCTTGATAATGAGCGAACCTTTAACAACATGCTTCACACAGGACTAGTTTATGCACTCTTACGGCTGGGTAAGGATGATGCACCCAATAGCTTTATAATATAGTTAGAAATAGAAAATATAAATAAACCGGGTACCAGCTCCCAATGAAAGCGAGAATGTCAGCCGTTGAGGACTACCCAATGTCAGAAGGGGAGAGTAGTTCTCTACTCAGTGACCTCCAACAACCTCAACTCTGTTCTGCTGATTAAGGATACCTTACCATAACTGTAATGATGAACCAGCTTTTTAGCTTGACGGTTACCTGGAATGTCGCGGTAATAGCGACTTTTCTCGGCTGAAAACCATTTATCAATCAGAGACTAAGTTGTAGACCAACTTAATCCACAATATGGCTCCGGTCTATGGCATCTCCTGACGTCGCAAGACTGTCCGCAGACTCCTTACCATTGATTTCTGCGTGACTAAGCACCCAGCAAAGCATCGTGTCATAGCAGTCTAACAGAAGCTTTGAGGAAAACTTTCAGGAGGATAATGCTTTGATTGCTGCTTGACTATCTGAATAAATAAAGATACGGCGCTTTTCTATCCATTACTAATGTTGATACGAATGCAGACCTTGATGGCGTGAACCTCCGCTTGGAAGATAGTGGGCCATTTACCCAGTGCAAGCGAGATTCTAGTGTTAGAACCAAATATCCCTGCACCAATTCCTTCGATTTTAGAACCGTCGGTGTACCACGAAATCACGGTATACCACTTTACAACACAGTTATATCAGTTACTAAATACAGTTACTAATTAAATTAACAGTATGTAGTAAATTTTATGTTTTTTTTAAAACGAAATCTAACAACAATACGACGCGAGTTAATGGTTGTTAACTGCTCAACTCTCTTGCTGTTGTTTATTCGTTTTTTATTTCTCTCTTTAATAAACTTCTTAATCTTAAAGAAGGAGATAAGAAACGGTGTTTTGTTTTTCTCCCTTATGCTTACTTATATTATAGCAGTAATATCACTGATTGCTTTTTATTGTTACTGTTAATGCTGTTCAATCTTATTCTAATATTATATGCACCCAAACTCATATAATGAGAGGAATTCTACTACTATTAGATTTTTAAATATTTCATAAAAATACTGAATGGTTTAAATGAATATTTTTAGTTGTAATTGAAAACAGATCCTTATTTTGAAAACTATTTTTAAATTTGATAATTGTTTATTTTTTGACTACATTCAGCCAGTTTTCGACGAGAAACATTATTCTTGTAGAATTGTGGATGTTTTATGTTTATGTTTAAAAAACTATAACTTCACAGATCTGTGTAAAGTTCAATTTAACACCAAGAGAAGAATTTTGAATGAGTTCGATAAAATAATAATCTCACATTGCAGAATTAGAACTATGCAGTGAATGTTTCCAAATATACCTGTCAATGACTTTCAAAGAAAGAAAGAAGGTTTTGCATGGTCTTACATCGTCACGAAGAAGCAGCTTCGTTCAATTTAGGTCTCCTAAATTTTTCACCCTAAACGGTATAATTCTTGACTGTAAACACTTGGGCATTAGAATCTTACCAAAGTCATGACATTACTTTCCTTGTCAATCCCAGCTTTACTCCCATTTGTGCAGTTTCGAAATTTTTATACCAAGACCGTTTTCATACATTATCGTATGTTCCATTTTTGATCATCTATACGATTTGTTAAATATCCTTTTGTAATAAACTCAATAAAATGATTTAGAACAATTTGTATGATTTCGTTCCCGTGCTATTATCATTCTGGGTTTTTTGAACCTAATCCATGCCTTTATAGATTTTTTTAGTGCTAGGCAAACCATATTGAGAGTATTGCTCACTAGAACGAAAACAACGGAACCATACGCTACAAATTAATTCAAGTAAATTATGTAATTTGAAAAGCTGTGTGCACAATAAGTGCTGCGTTCGCTCACTAACAAGGCAACAAAAGTGTCGCATTCGAATGCGACATCATCAATAACATCTAAAGAGTTTTAGAAAGTAAAAATTAATAAAAATAAATAAAATCAGAAACTTAAGAATATAAGGAGCCGGCTTTGGGCTGTGCAGCTATTATTCGTATCCAAAACTTACGCCAAAAAGGCGTTCCTACTTTGGAATGCAAATAAATGTTTTTCTTTGGGATAACCACCAAACTGACAAAATATAAAAAATGAGATTTTTATTATACCCTTTTAAATTGATTAAATGTATAAATACTTCCATAGCCATCGCCGAACTCTGTAAAATGAAGTGCGATCTGTTGAAATAACCAGCCCTAGATTTCGTTCTCTCTGACTTCTGATTCTATCGAACAAATATGTAACAAATGATTTGCCCCTTATAGAGATATTTTAGATACGAATTACAGAAATGGGATCCATAAATTGGAGGAGGACCGTTGAAATAATAGTATTGAAGTTAAGGATGATTTTACAATAAACAGTATAAATTTTCCTTTTTACAGTATTTGTTACTTTTATTATGAAAGGAAACGAATACTGCGATTTTTTTAAAATAGTAAAAACAGTATAAATTTGATGTTGACGTAAAAGTTGTTCAAATTGTAGGTAATCGGGAAAACAAACGGAATACTACCAAACTCCCGTTTGACGATATCTATGAAGCAAGTACTACTAATTCTTTTAAGTTCTTCTGCTATAAAGAATTATAAAGAACATTTAAATAGATTTAGTAAACATGTAGCAACGCTTCTCCCCTTGATCGAAAATGAAAATGCCATTATTCGCTTATATCTCGATTTCGTTTATGACTAGAAATTATAAATTCATACGCTGCTGCAGTGTTGTTTACAATTTTTTCTTTGTTTTTGTTTGAAATTTGCTTTGATTCGCGTATAATTTTCTATTTCAAGGCAGAATTTTAGTAAATTTACTAAAAGAATGCATTGGAAAAATAACATCGCTCTTATGTATCTCGCACATCTTTGCATTGATTTTGTGTGGATTTTGTATGACAAATATGACTAAATTCTATTGAGATAAAGTCAAATGGCAATAACAGATTGCTAAGCTAAATGTGTAAAAAATGGTAGAAAACAATGAAGATAAATAAATTTTCAGTGGTTTGCATACCTTATCACATTTTAAGTGTTAAAAAAGTTTTTATATAACAAATTGCTTACAAAATGCTACAAATATGTTATGTTTAATGTACATATAAATAGGTATAATAGTTGATTAATTAGTTTTTCATTTATCCAATAATTGTGGACATACAATTAATAAATAATATTTAAAAATTTCCTTAATCCTAACAATATATTCGCTTTATTTGTTACGTTGCTTTAATCATTCTTGTAGAGTAAAACATGTTTTTAATTAATGAATTTAATTATTTGCAGGAAAACTAGAACCTCACTCTACTAATTTTAGCATGGGCTATCTTGTATCTCCGTATTCATATTCCAATGGCGGTGCTGGAGGACTTCCGGTAACAATGGTAAGATTTAATTACTATAAATCTGGTCTAAATTTTAAATTAATATGCATTTGCTTAGATATGTATACTAAAAAATCTATAAATTAATCGTAGGTCTAGAAAATTCATCTGAGGGTGACATAAAATTAAATGCTTGTTTGCTTTGCGAGTACTCAACAGTGCTTTTAAAAATTAAAAATCGACTGCTTTTGTTTTCTGTTCGTTTTGTTCTGGTTTTTGTATGGTTTACTTTTGTAATTTTTCGAAATCAATCTTCTTATTTCATAAAACCATAAACTTCTTTACATTGCCTAAGGTTCAATGCATTAGTGGATATATAAAGCTGCTAAGCCAAAATTTTTTAAAGAAAAGCACAGGTTTTAAAGCTTTTAATAACTAATATTTTTATACATCCCTAAAATTTGTTACATTAAAATAATTGGAAGTATATTACAAATAGCAATAGCTCACATTTGCGGAGGGTTTATGTATTATATATATGGAAATATATACACTGAAAGTTTTCTTAAACGGACTCCGACGGGTTTGGAATTACTGCCCGGTTCAGCAAACTATCCGTTTGAAAGAACATAATTTTTATTAAAAATGGAAAGTGAGGAGTAGTGGGGATTTAGAGAGATGTCCGTTAATGAGAGGGTCCGTTAAACAAACCTTTCGCTGTGTAATGTAATAAAAAAAAATCAATCAATATTCCTGCAAATAAAATTAAACAAACAAAACTTTTTAGTATTATTAATTACTTATCAATTTAAAAATGTTACTCCCCTTATTCTCAAGTACTTAAGCTAGTTTTGTTGGTTTTAATTATTTATTCATTTTTTTTTTCTAAATGAGAAGCCTTTTTAATTAAAAAGCATCAATACCATACACTGTAAAGGATGTAAACTATTAATAAAATGTGCTTGACATGTCATTTTATCATTATCAGATACTTCAATTGGAATAATTACATATATTAAAATGAAATAATCATGCGAAACACAAGATAATAATAAAAATACGTGTATACAAGAGTTTTTATTCAATCCTCACAGTAAAGGGTATAGCGTTTAGAAAGGTTTAGAGGGCAAAAAAGTATTCATTTTCATTGTGAATCAAATGTTGACACTAGAACGAACAGGTCGAATCTAAATTCTGCTATTCTTATATGAAAATTGATGCCTATTTAACACATTATATGAAATAAAAATATGAATAGGAAAAATTAAAGTTCTTAAAATATTATGAGGGGAGGTTTGTCACCATTTATTTGTAATCGTCGTGTGCCTGCAAAGGGGTTCAATTTTCACATTAAATGGGCTTACTAAACACCATGTAATTTATACAAAGCTATGTTATTAATACCTTTTATGGTTGTATACAATTATTTACCGTTCTTTAAAAAATAACAATTGAAGGGGAGGGACGGGACTGCTGCAGAGATTTATATGCAAGATCATAGCGACAAAAACACTTAAATTTAGGAACATATGTGTGTATAATTATATACTCGAATAATTCGCATGTTTCAGACAATAACTATTTTGTTTGTATTTAAAATTTTATTAAGTATAGAAATATTATTTGCGGTTCTATATATGTCAGGAATATGCTTGAATCTTAGGGTCTTATGTAACAGCTAAATAGTGTCTTGTTAATGGTTTTACATTGTTAAATGTATATTACTATACAAAATATGTAGTTCAGAGAAGATCACTTTTTTGCATAAACAACTAACTATTCTACATATAAGTACTTATGAACTTACCTTGTTAAAGTCATGATGTTACAAATTTGTACATTTGTAGAAAACAAACAAATTTTTCTAGTTATGATAATTATAGCTATGATATTGCTGATTAATTATGTGTGATATTTGCCCTACGGTGGAAGTTGTGTGAGCATTAGCTACTCAGGTAAAATATGGATTGACGTGTATATATTACTATGTGATAATAACATATATATATATATATATATATATATATATATATATATATATATATATATATATGTATATATATATTATATTGTGTGTTTAACTTTAAAATTGTAGTTCAATTCGCCGAAATGAATTTTAGTTTTGTGGTTCTCTTTCACATATTTCTTTAAAAATTGTATACTTCGTTTTGTTTTATTTTTATGTTTATTGTTAGCGAGATTTATGTGAATTCGGATCTTCATTTATTCAGGCACACATAAATACATTTCTGCGTATAAACATATAGTACTTTGCGCGTTATTTCTTGCCAAGCCGCACAGCTTTTATTCTCCAGTCTGAAGTTTTATATTGACTGCCGTCTAAAGAACATACGTTAAAAGGCAAACATGTTTATATAAAAAAAGCAAACTTTAAAATATTTAAACATAAAATTCTTATATGTATACTTTAAGATATATATGTGTATATATTATTGGAATTTAGTAAAAATATTCAAGATTTGAAGAAAGTGGTTTTATTTTTCAATGAACGAAGTTGTACTCATTTCTATATTTTACATTTCTTTATTTAATAAACCATGATTTTACTAAGTATTTTACTCATCATATTTTGCTATTCTTCGCAACAACTCGCAAAAATTCTCAATGTTTTGAATATGGAAGTGGTTTCTTATCTCTTGTTTCAAAAACATGCAAGCATATAACATAAGCACATAAGCTGTGGAACTTGCTTGTATGTGTAGAAGCGCCGCAGACCTGTCTGTGTTAACTAGCTGCAGTAAGTGATGCTTACTTAGAGATCAATATATTTAAAAGCTTGTGCCTACATGATGAAGAGTGTTAATGATAGTGTCGCAGTTCTCATATGTTCTGTTGCGTTGAATTCGACGATTTTCTAAATTCTGTTGTGCCTGTTATGATAAAAGAGTTTGCAGCACTGGTACATACACATATAAATATGTTTTCCTATTTAAAATGCAATCAATTTCAATATATTGTTGCTGTACTAAAAAAAAAGAATACGCTTTGTTAGGCCCAGGATATAACAACCAATTTTTATAAAGCTAGCTTTTTTTTATACACTTTATGTTTAGTTTGGTTCAAGATATCGGATTTTAAAATGACACAACTTTAATCCCTGTTTTTATAATTAATGTAAAAGTTACATATACTAATTGCCGCTAGGTGGCGCATTTTGTTATGATTTGTATAATTCACGTAAAAAGTTCATAACACCGAAATTTATTAAATTGTGATCACTATGAAATCGTGATCGAGTTGGATAAAATAACCAATTTTACTGAACAGAGCTTAATATTATTTAAATTGATTTTTTGTTTACATGCTTTACTTATGCAGTTAGTTATTATCTATAGTCGATGGCTGTAATAAAATTATTACACAAATTAATTTCAAATAAAAAAATCCTTGCGAGCACATATGTTATAAATATATAAAAACTTAAATGTATCTATCTCTGTAATTTGTTTAAGTAAAACATTGAGGATGAACGAATTGAATTGAGTCTTTATATACACATAGCCAATAAAATCTGCGTACACCTTACAAATTTTGATATGTGATAAAGAAACACAACATAATTAATTTTACATATATTTATTCTTTGAAACCTTAAGTTTAAATAGCAAAAGACAAAAATTGTATTCGTTTGTTCATTCTTAAGATAACGGGATAAAAGTGTCCCTGCATGTATATATAGCCCCCATAAAGTCTGCGTACACTTTGTTTGTTTAGATAATATCATTAATTTTTAAGCAGTTTGTTCTAATTTTTACTCATTTGGTATTATTTAGCATTTGAATTGAACATTTAGCGAGCTCAGTGATCAATTAATTTTTAAGTAGTTACTATTTTAAAGTATGGAATCAAGGGGAAGAGAAATCAGTGTACACGAAAGAAAAATAATTATTAAACTATGGAAAGATGGAAAAAGTTTCCGAAAAATTGATGAAACTATTGAAAGAACGCATTCATCAGTCCAAAATTTTAACATCTAAACAGCATCCTGGGCGTCCAAAAGTTTTATCAGTCCGAGAAAAGCTAAAAATAATCCATATGCTAAAAATCAACCCTCGTGTGTCTTCTTCGGAAATTGTGAAATATGTAAATATATCATTTATAAAAGTATTTGTGCAAAGACTGCTAAAAAAGTATTACATAAAGCTAGATATCGTGGTGGAGTCGTTAGAAAGAAGCCGTATATTTCACTTGTAAACAGACAAAAGCGCGTTAAATTTGCAAAGAAATAGATAAATAAACTTCCGGAGTTCTGGAAACAAGCGATATTTTCAGACGAAAGCAAGTACTGCATCTTTGGTATTAAAGGTCATTAAATTGTGTGGCGGAAATCAGGAGCAGCGCTAGAGAAACAAAATCTTGTTAGTATAGTCGAGCCATAACTCCACCACCGCCGTGGTGGAGTTATGGCTTCATACTTTATTGGCTATGTGTATGTCTGTAAACGACTAGCTGAAAAAATCAGACAACATTTATGAGGTCTGAAATTGATTTGAAACTTTTGGCGACGTAATAAACATAATCAAAGATTGACTAATATAAGTCTGGTAAAAAAGCGTAAAACGCATTTATGTTGAATTATACTGAAAATAATAGAATAATATAATAACAAAAATGTATCTTAATTACTTACGGATTTTGTTGTGTTGATCCCAGCAAGTCAGCAAAATGAATTGGGTTAGTGTATTTTAACCGAATGACAAAAGTCGGTTACAATAGAAGAGTTGGAATAAAACAATATGTATTTTACCAAACTTTACTCACATTTCCTTACATATTTATAGCAAAAATTGTAGATATATTTTAAAATAGTCTTTATTTTCACTATCAGTTTCCTAGTGTAGCCTAATTTTTACTTACCGAATAATTTGAATTCAGTTTGTATAATTTGGTCATTGTCACTACCGACATACTACTACATACGTTATGGAATAACGTACGTTATTATTCTAAAGCTGAGGACGTTTTTTATACAATATCATAAAGTAAACGTAAAAAAATACACTTGCTTTTAAAATTTTGATTAATTTTTACTTTAACTG